GTTTGTGATCACTCGACTCCATTTCCTTCGTTAGCGTGATGCTCTCTGAAATGCCGTTTTTATTTTCAAACAATTCTTCTACAAAATGCCGTTTAATGGCAATAAAAATGTCATCTACATACCGTGACCAGACTTTTGGTGGACATAAACAACCTGTGATCGCACTGGTTTATAAAAAAGGCATAAATAAATTCGATACAATCGGAGAAGTTACTGAACCCATCGCTACATCCTTCTGTTTGTAAATGCCTCATCAAAATGTTAATAGAGTGGTTTATAAACACAATTCCAAGCGCTTGATAATTTTGGATGGATCTAACGGACATCGTAAATTGAAATCTGAATCAGATTCTAAACCGTTATAAATAATGTCTAATGACTTACTGGTAAGTACATTGGTAAATAAGGAAGGTACATCAAAACTTGCCATCATTTCATCCTCGTTACATATGTGGTATCGATATTATTCTTGAATTCCATAGTGTTTGATTCCATAATTAATCAATTTGTTATACGGTTTAAGTTTCCTAGCTAAGTATTTCGTTAGATCGTATGTCGGTGAATTTGCAAATTCAACCACTGGTCTTAGTGGGGCATTGTTATTTTGAATCATTGAAAGTTCATAGGATTTACAAGGGTTACAAATTTTTGGATAGAATATGAACTATAATGACAGTCATCGTTTAGCCTTTATCGACTGTAAGATTTTACTGGTTTCAGCCTTAAGTCTATGTGACTAAATTTCAGGGCTGTTCATAACAAAAAATAATACGATAAATGAATAACCAGTTAGTCAAAAACATGAAATACAACATATTATTTTGTGCTTCTTGTGCTTTCCAGACAAACATCAGAGGTACTAATGATGGTGCAGAACATTGATTCTTGACCACCAGCCGCTTATCCAAAAGTAACGTGCATAAAGCGCGATAACTTTTATATTGAATGCCAGTCCTACTAACATTATTATTCTAATGCATGGAAATACGTTCCCTATTTCTACGAGCAGTGTGCATTATGACATATCAGCCTAATAGAGTAGCTTACTAAAATAAACTCCGTAGTATTTGTAATAATTTAAAATTTCCTGTAAACTGGCACTCCTCATGTAACATGTTTTCTTCGAGAAAATATTATTATCTCACCAGAATTTAGCTTTAATCTCATATTTGCTGCTTTTAGCACTATTTGGGCTCACAAAATTATTTTCACAAGGTTTTTACTCAGGTTTCACCAGCTGAAGTTTTTTGTTAGTACATATTGATGCATTCATATGCACCGTTTACCCGTGTTTTTTCTCGTGAATTGGGTTTTATAACCTTTTGAAGGCTCTTTGCTTTACCACTTTTGGTTAGAGTGACGGTTTCGATACATTTTTACAGTTACTGTGGTAACATTATGCCTTTAGACCCTTGTGATTAGCTGTTTGAACTTTTCTTGAATTATCCACATTGTACTAGCTACAATGATCATCTAAAGTCATTGATGGGATTGAGTTGTGTACCACTTCCTTATTGAAGATGTTATGAGGGGCAGAAAGCGTAAGAGTTGTTATCAAGGAATGTACACTACCCAACGCCGACCACGTACCAAATTGTTGACAACCGGTTTCACCGTCATTATGTTGAGAACTTCGTTTTGCTGAAGCGACTATTCTAGATGAAGCCTTGGAGCTTTTCATCACGAAGTTGCCGAGTGACAGTACATACTCAACAAGTTTGACATCAGACGAAGGGCAAGAAAGAATAGTAGTCGCTAGCTCCACTGACTCCACCATTACCCTATATCGAACGGCTGAGATTGCTGTTATGGACACATTTGAAGATGAGACAACCCCTGTCTGGACCATTGTTACTCGTAATCGTAATAAGTTCTACCACCAATCCATAGCGCATGTATTTTAAACACTACTGACGAAATGAATGTCACTATACGACGTGAAGACGGAAATACTATCCCACAAGAAAATTTGGATATAATGAATTAACGGATTCGCTCGAAATTCAGATACAAAGGAAAACCAATGAGAAGCACCCGGTGATCAGTGAGATGGAAACGACCATCCAATCAAAACCGGTGAACACATCTTTTCTAAAGTCAAATCCGTCCCTAGTACAGTTACTCAGAATCAAGATAGGTCAGAAAAAAATGACCCTACTAAACGAAATGCATACGATCTGGAGTTAATGAAATCTGCTATCAGAAACTACTTTTATGAATGTGGTGTTTGTCTTGTTGTGCTAATTAGGCGTGACAACTTAAATATGTATTAGAGGCGCCAGAGTTATAAATCGCAAAGGAGGAGGCACATTATCACGTGGTAGAGATAACGTTTGTGTACAACCAAGTAGATAAGAAACGAACGATAGTAGTACACATGAGGTAGCTTGTTTTAATGTTGAGTCTAGACATGAGCTGATGACTATAGGAGGAGTATACCGTAGTCCACGTTGTTTTGTTGAAGATTTTGTCCATAATCATATCTGTAATTGGAGTAAGACTGACTGTTGTCTCATCGTCCGATATTTCAACGTTCCACACATCAATAGAATAAAGCCTACAATTTCAGGTGGATGTTTTGATGGCAAGTCGCTGTCAAATATTCATCTCGAAACCGACAAATGTCGGCTTAGGATACAACTCATCATTGCTGGACCTTGCTCTCACACGTCACTGTGATGGTATCTCTGACATTCAATGCCTACTCTCACTAGAAAAGTGATCGAGTTTCACTGCAAGTTATGTTCCTGAAACATATTATACAGTATATCTCGGCTTTCAAATTCGAGTTATTGAGATCACTGTTCATCACATGGTCAACGCGTGTTCTATCACATCGCCCTACATAGATTGATAAGGAAACCCGAAATTTACTGAGGCGTAGGAGAAACATCTAGGACTTCTTCTTGTTAACAGGCTACTAATAACTTGTGTGAATACTGAAAAATCCGTAATCTGTATCCAAAGATCGTAGCCAAAAACCACAGCACTTACGAAAGAGAGTTGGCACGCGATAGCTCTACATTTCCAAAACGGTTGTTTTCGTACATAAAACGAAGAGCAAAACATAATGATGGAGTCCACGATTATTGTTGCACGAAAATTCAGGTACACTACCTGGATCAGTTCCGGTCAAAGTTGGGACTTTATTAATCTATTTTAGCGAGGTCAGTTCTAACGTCATTGTTAACAACACCTCTCATAACCACACCATTGACATACCACTCATAGGAACAATATGTATGACTGAGAAGATTGTTCTTCAATCGCTCTTTAGCCTCAGATTTGGTAATTCACCGGTCCTGATGGATGCATCCACAACTGTTTTCATCCGTTGTGGAAACTTTAAAAATTACTCGAACTGCTGTTCGACACGTTTCCTTTCTAAACTTGATTCACTAAGGGTTGGAAGAATGCTAAAGTCCGTCCCACATTTAAATATAGAAAGATAGACTGTATCCAGTCACGAACTTTTCAGTTTTGTAAAGACTTGGGTCGATTAGTTAGTAGTTGACCTAAAAAAACCAAGCATACGTCAAAATAATAGTGCTGAAGTGTTCATTCATTTCCTTATTTTGTATAAGCATACTTCCTACTACCTTATATTAAATGCTGAAAAGCTTTGTGTGTTTGAACAGGTAACCTCCCGCTTTACTGTGTGTTGTCTCGCGACCTAAATGAAGACCTATTCATTACTAGTCTGATTTCTTCCACCAATAGAACGATGGTTACCTGCTGCCACGAAAGTCTAACCAGAATAGTGCACAGATTACCCGAAAAATATTTCCCGCCAATTAACTAAGTCATACAGAATCATACACTATCAAATCCTGAGCAACACGAGTTTTGGACCAATAATCTGTCCTCAGCTAACTTACTGACTGCGATGGAGGGTTAAACAGCAGTCCAAGATAATGGTTTGTACAACAATGTGATATTCACAGATCTTACCAAAGCATTTGATAAAGTCCTATCCCAATCTCTCGAGCTATGGCATTACGTTAATGAACTACCGTTAACGCTTAAGTCATCGACATTGATGTTTGCAAATGATTCCAAAATCTGAAGGACAATAAGTAGCGAGGCTGATCATCTTGACCTCGAAGCTGACGTAGTTGAATAAGTTAAACGGTTCATAAACTTGGGCTTAGGAATTAATCATAGAAAGAGTGTGCTATTGAACATCGAACGTAACAATGGTAACCAGTATACTATCAATGGCAAATCATCCCTATTAATTCAGGAACAAAAGGACCATGAAGTAACACTAAATTATTACTAATAAGCAACTGAAGGTTGCAATGCAGAAGCCACAGAATGTTTTCGAGTGCTATGGTCACTTAGTAGAATATCCAAATGTTTTGATGAGATTTTTGGGGTTTTATACACCACCTATAGGAAACCAAATATGCAATACTGCATTCAAGCAACCAGTTCATGTTTTATTAAGGATTTTCGGAATTCTCACACGATGAGCATTTAAAACACTTGGACCGTTTTACCTTTATAGTATAATAGGGCCCGAGGTGACCTTATTTCGGCATTTTATATCACTGACAGCAATTAGGGTGTTAACATGTCAGTCTTTTTATTCCCTCTAGAACTAATCATCCCCAGGGCCGTAAACTCGGAGTAGGGTTTCGTTTTTCTCATTTGGTGTTTAATAACTGGAATGTCCTACCCGAACAAATGATGTCAGTCCCATCAGTAAACAGTTTCAAGGAGAAGCTGAGTGTTTACTGGAAAAACAGCTGCAAAGATTAAGACAGGTCCAGCGGCCTCTGTCCTTATTGCTGAAGATTTTAGATTGACTTTCAAAACGAATTGTTAACCAGTAGAATTTCCAACCTTAGAACCTACTTGTGTCTCTATAAAAATGGTAATTCAAAGGAAAATTGGATTGAATAACAGATGGTGATCTCCAGAACCTATACTAACCTTAAAGACTTCTGTTTTTCCCAAACTGGTTTCTGGCGAGCGCCTTAATCAAAGTTGGCGTAACTCGCCCTATGTTTCTAAATGTTTACCACTAAATTCCCCAGAGGATTATCTCTTTGTGAACTACTGTATCAACCTATAAGATGGAAAGTCAGTAAGGGAACACCTGCGAGAATGACTTTCGAAATTCGGATGAAACTTGCAGAGACAGATGATCCATGGTTTCGAACCAGGCTAGTTGATTCAACTGAAGAGGTTAAACATTTCTTCCTGTTATAAGTTGCTGATTTTATTTTGTCATAATGATTGCCTATCTATCCTTAGGTGTAGGCTACAGGTGCTTCATACTCACTTGTTTAAGGTTGCGCCAGTGTTACACGGATTGCTCTTTAATAAATTAGGACATGGGACTTCATTTCCCATCAGTATAGAGAATGTCAATAGCAAGAGTCTTTGAAGCGCTCAATGGCTTCCAAGATGGCAGTTTTATTTCAAGCGTTTGTTTCGGTACAAGGTTAAGCAGGATGTTACTGGTTTGTAATATAGGATTTAAAGAACATATGAGACCCATAATCCTTATCAGTTAGTTAGAATATTTTGATATAGCTACCCTGGTCCCTTCCTCAAAATGTAGTCAAATTTGGAGCCATGACATTATGAGACCAACGTGACCACTATTCCTCGAACCTTTTCAGGAAGTTCAGTCTTATAGACAAGAGCTAACTACTTGTATGTAGCGCGTAAGTTAACTTAAGCGATTGCAGGTCAACAATACCGTGTAGTGTATCAAAACTTCCCAATACTTGGTTATCTAAACTCTAATCATAGTCCAAAAGTTTCTAGCACTTGGAGTTCTGAAAGGTCCTATGGTTGTAATATGTATTTTTTTGTTATATCCCAACCTACTATGGTTATAATGTTTTTGGGTTTGGTAAAATAAAGACGTACAGGTACTAATATGTTCTTCAGAGAACCTGCTTTCTATACGAAATTTTCTGGGGAATTCAAACTTACCACATATGTTGCTTATCGTTTAATCGATCTTACATGACTAAAAGGTTGATTATTTATTTTAACACAAAGATATTGGTACAAGGAGGCACCAAATACATATGCGCCACACAAATCTCATTCGATATGTGTGAGGGCTGTGATACTGCCCGGGTGCGCAAACCGAAGCAGGTGGTTTTCTGAGGGGGCCACTCCCTAAAAGGTTGAAGAAATAAATGGTTATGTCTAGCCACAGCAAACCTTTCAGGAATACTTTCCAAGTTTTACATTTCTACTTCCGTACAGTTTAGACCTTATTATATATACCAAAAGCCTGGAATTCGAGACTGCTTTAATTTTAGTGACGACATTTTAAGCCTCCCTAATATTGAAGAACAGCATTCATAAAGACGCTGATTATCTATATAAAAAAAACACTGCCAGTCATCAAACCTTCATAAATCGGCAAGGTGCGTCGCAGATGGTCATAAAGGTTTAGCTCGGTCCAAGCAGGTACATTCATATGGATTTTGTCTAGGTCTAGAAAACAGAATGTTCTCACTCAATATCAAAACGTGGTCACTATGTCAACTATTTTTTGGTTCTAGCGCTAGATTTTAAGTGGTTTTAAATCTGTTGGTTGAAATTCTGACAAACCGAATTTGCTTAGATCTGTGGTCTAAACATGATTGTGTATACAGTTATTATCTGTAGACAAAGGTATAAAGTGACAGTGTTTGTCTTATTGTGACCGGATTAATAAGGTTACATAGCTGCTACTCTGAGGGTATTTGTTGTGTTCCATGTAGTACTTATTTATTGTACTAACTTGGCATAATATGGTCTCTGTACCTTTCTTTTAATCTTTACTAATTTCAATAGGCAAAACATATTATGAAGAAATCAGCAGAGTTTTCTAAAGACGATGTTATTACGGTTCCTATCGAAGATGATTTGACGCCAATAAATGGAGTCCCAAAAGAACACCAATCTGAAAGGCGTGTTAGAATTTTCATCCCAGCTAAACCTGCTACTCAATCAGGTACTCATGGCACTCGACTTTGGCGTATTGAGTTCGACAATCGCGAACGCTGGGAAAATCCACTGATGGGTTGGGCGAGCAGTGGTGACCCACTTTCAACTACAGTTGTTGAATTTGAAACTTCTGAAGCGGCGGAAGAGTTTTGCAAACGTCAGGGATGGCCGTGTTACGTAGAAAGTCCAAATATTTTAAAAATGAATGTCAAGTCATATGGATCCAATTTTTCATGGAACAAACGAACTCGGGTTGGATCGAAATAATGTTATCAGATTGCTCACATTTTTCTTAATTTAGCAGCTACTTCAGTTGTGACCTATTTTATTTTGCTTGCTAATAAATATTGTAGAAATATAAATTAAGTATATACTGTTTACTTTTTGTTATTTCATAGCAAAAAGTTTCGTTTGTACTTTCTATTTCTCCGCTAATTTTGAGTAAAAAACTTGAGTTGACTCCAAAGTTGTCTTATCCTCTTAATGGGATGTTTTGGCAACTTCGCTTGGACAGTGGTTTGTGAGAGTAGTGGTCACTGTTTATACTAATTTCGCGTTCAAAATCTTCCATAGGTCATTGTAATTCGTATCATCATTGTTCAACTGGAACTGAGAGTGTATTTCACTGTCAGCCCTTTACTTAGACTCCTGATAGAAAAGTCCTACTCACTGCCTTTCGTGCGGGGTGTTGTTTACGAAATTGAGAAGATGAAAAGCGATGGCTCGGCTCTTTAACCAGGTTGATGGATACGGAGGATCCACTTAGGGTCGTTGGAAAACCTTGGTTCCAAACCAGTGGTGTGCATGGGCTACAGGATCCTAAGGAAACAAATGGCGTATGAAATAATTGTTGGTCACCGGCTACCATGGGACTGCATCTCCTTCTGTTGCTCCACTGCCTTGTGGATTAGACCTTTAGATCAAAGGTTCGGGGTGTGGCCCCCCGAAGAAAACCACCTGCTTCGGTTTTGGCACCCGGGCAGTCTCCCAGCTCTTACACAAATCGAATGATTTATGTGGCGCATATCTATTTGGTGCCTCTGTACCAATGTTTATGTGTTTAAATAAATAAACAAATACTGATAAATGGTTGTGTAGTTTAATTAATTTGAACTAGTCTCACATTTTATGTACGTTAATAATCACTTTAAATGTCATTCATTCTACTGAAGTTGATAAAATCTTAATTTTTCTTAAGGTTTCTCACTCATATTGTTGGGAATGACCTAATGAAAGTAAGATATTCTTGTCCTGAAACGAATGAGTAAATCTATTCTCTAATCATCCTTCAATAGATTTCGTTGTTGCACATAAATAACTGTAATAAAAGAATAAAACACTAGCATTATCGTGTATAAAATACTCAAAGCTACACGTGGTAAATTGTTATTTTTCATTTATTGGGATCTTACTTCAGGCTTGTCACAATTAGTTATGATTATATGTCTAAAGTGATATTTAAAAGAATCATTACATTGGGCAGTAATAGGACTGAATGCTTCTTAGTGTGATAGCTGCTCGAACACTTCTCCCTGACAATCCTTATTGTCTGATAACCTCACATTCTTACATGTATTAAGTTTCATTGTGAGGGTTAAGTATTTCATATATTGAACTTATTTGACTATACCGTTCATTATGGATTCTGTTTCTCACCATGACTCAGTAGTAATTTGAGGATTTAAATACATTCAAGTAGTTATTATCGCGAGATGTTCTTTGGAAATTAACCATGTATTAATTTAACCAATATATTAGTCTGATAATTTCGTTATGTTTACATTCTTTATAGGTCCGATGCCGATTTCAGTGGATAGAGAACGCCGTGCGAACGCCGGAGCCCGGATGGCTCGGTTGTTGAATGAAGAGGAGGAGGATGAATTCTATTCCAATATTTATGGTGGATTTGCAGAAGTACTGTTCGTGTTTTATTATTTATCTAATATTTATTTCTCATGCTTTTTTAGATTAAGTGCGTTGCTTTATCATCACTCGTGAAACCGATTATTATCATCATATATTAAAGGTCACTTAAGGTTATTAGTCTGTACATAGTATATGAAAAATATCAGGAACGAAGCATTGTTTTCGAAGATACCAATGGCAATGTTTGTAAAATGGATACTAATTAATATCATACTGTCCGGTTCTCATTGAGTATTGTATTCTACTCTTCATTTTCTAATTGGATGTTGTTAAGTCATGTTTTCTTCCTAAAAACCACTCAGTTTGAAGTTCGGACCTTTTTAGGTGTTTCAATTGCCAACTTAATTACTGCTAAGTAATCGGGGCATCATAGTTTATTCCTTTATCGACAGTAATTTATGTGCGTTTCGGCAGTCACTTTATATGCGTAACCCTATCAATCAAACTTATTCACAACTTAAATATCTCCCTAGTATATGTGGCTATAGCCGTTAATGACTTGTGTTCGAACCTGAAGGGGTTTAATTATGTCTACAAACACGTTTTATTGACAAATTCTAAAAAGTTTTGGAACCGATATCCGTTCGATTCCTAATAGCTCAAATTAGTGAGATGCTTACTTATTACAACTTTGTTCGCATTTTCCAGATTCTTGGGGATAAGGAATGTAACTCTCATATTGATACAACTTTGACATTGCGAAAAATCACTTGCGATGTTGGTTGTTGGTAATACCTAGTAGTGAACTTCCATATACTCTCCCACTGTTTGCTGCTCGTTTTTCTGGATATGCATCTTATAATACTATATTCAAGTGCGAATTCAACAGATATCGTAGAGTTTATTTGATTATTTGCTTTGGGATCAGTGGGATAAATCCTCGTACACTGTCACAGACTTTCGTATTTGAACATCTTTTTTGTGGAAATCTCGCAACTAATCAACTTCAAAGTCTCATGTTTTATATGTGTTTATAGTGTTTTAACTAGGCGATAAGCTGTACATTCATACATATAATGAATAAACCTCAGATAAGGAGAACACTTCTTACATGCGCCTGTCATGCGCCTTTGTGTTATAATATTGAATTCGTCCCAGAAAAGCAAGTCTATTAATTGAAAAGATCATAGTTATGAATCTTTTTATAAAAATGGAATGATTGTCATAATTTTTTCTCCCATTTAATTCCTCTTTTAGGAAGAAGAAGATGCAGATTATCAATCAGAAAGTTCAGTTGAAGATGTAATTGACTCTGATTTCGCTGATGAAAGCAGTGGATCTGATGAAGATGACGCAACAGCAATAGCATCGGACGATGATGAGAACAAACGCCAAAAGCGTCAATCTAATCGTGTTGTTACAAAAGGTTACAAAGTAGGAATATCTCCCTTTTTTGAAAATTGTGTCAACTTTTCTTTTAATTATAAGTTTTCCATGCAACTGTTCATTTTGAATGAAGTAAACTCAATTAAAAAACGATGAATTTTCACATAACACGTTAAGCTAACCATGTATTCTCTTGTATACAGTTACATTCACGTTGCTAAAAATAAGTCGTTTTGAAAAAGGACTGAAAATATTAGCATACTTTAAAAATGTGTAGAACTACTAACAGTATTTGTAATACTTAGTATTAACGCTAAGATGCAGGTGCACCCAGCTGAGTCTCAAATAGGATGGAACTCATTTCCTGCGTTTCAATGCTACTCAAAATCCATCTATTCTAAATAACTTATGTCATGATGTTAATATCAAAGCAATCCACACAGGATGCACATACTGATAAAAAATTAGTCAGAATTCAGTCCATAAAATTAATAAGATAACTCAAACCCCTATGTAGCATGCACGATAAAGAATTCAAAAAATAAAATAAAATAACAATGAAAGATAGGAACCTACATTAACAGTGAAAGTAGGGCTTTTTTTGTTGATTAATGTTTTTATGTTGTTGCACAATAAGATGTATAAATTTCTAAAATGATTTATGCCTTAAAATGTATTAATTTTACATTTATTCGATAATAATCTATTTCTTTTTACCACAGGAACCTAAACGTGCTAAAATTACTCGTCCTCAAGAAAATAAATTACCTGATAAGAAGGCTAATAGTGATAAAAGTTTAACTGATTCTCAGAGTAAATCTACCGTACAGATTAAAGATAAGCAACAACAGATAACAATAACAAAGAAAACTTCAGGGCAAATTTCAACTTATGGTAAGTCGATTATCTGATTTTCTTTGAGTTGGACATTGTGCATATGCAGTGTGGGTGATTATATTTTCACTTAACTTGTCGTTGTTTATCAGCAATGATTAACAATGTTATTTCAAAATAGAAATATCATAGGAATAAGGTTAGGAATAAACTATTAAGTGGTTCACATGCATATATTATTAGAAGGGAACTGTTACAAGTAATGATAATATTAGGTTTAATTTCATTTCGATTCAGCTGAATATCTCTTATTTCAATGTATACAATTATTGGATAATGAGTTATAATGTATCCAATCTGGTGTAGACCAGTTAATACTGTACATAGCCATGAAAATGTATGTAACACGTGTAACTTTAGACTGTTATTTTGGCGTCGTGTCGATGGAAACCCATCTCAGTAATGCAGGTTGCTTGTAAATAATGTGTAATTGCTGTTGTAAGTGGTTTACGCTGTGATTGGTGACCGAGTGTGACACTGTAAAGCTGATTTGATGGGTAGTATGTTTCCAATCTATGTTTGTTCAGAACCAATAGCATCTGCAAGCCATGAAGGATTCGCATAGATGACTTATTTTTTCTGGTATATTATAATCTCCTGACAAAAGAAGTATTTTATAAGCTATGACGTATTGTTTGCAAATCCTATATATATATATATATATATATATACGTATATTTTAGAACGACCAGAATTACGGGCAAGCACATTACAAGCTACAGCTGATCAAGAAGCCGAAACCACGCGTAGACGAATAGCCACTGCTGAGAATACAGCTGTTCGTCGTAAAGCGTTACTAGCTGAAATCGCTCAGCGCAAAAATCTTCCGGAAGTTCGGCGTTTAACTCAAGAAGAATTGTTGGCTGAGGCAAAAATCACGGAAGAAATCAATCGTCGTTCTTTAGGTGAGCTGATTTCATAATGTTTGTAGAATTTGTTTTATTTTTCGTCCAGAACATATAACATTTTCTGTAACGTCAGTGGAGGGTGGTAGCTAATTTAAAGATATTTTCTGACCAGTTAACGAAATGTGTATTTTACGATATACAACTATGCTTTATTGTTGTTACTAGATTGTTTTAATTATATCCGAAAGTATTTGGTTATTATTTTAGTGATTATAATAATTATGGGTAAATATACGCATAAAAAGCATGGTGTTAGTTATCTATAAATATTATATTTTTAATTATGAGAGTGTTTATTCACCAGTTGCTTACTTGTTCTTGGTTTCGATTCCAGCTCGATATCAACGCCTAGAAATTGAAAAGAAAAAAGCACGCATTCAAAAAACGGTCAATTCCACTCCAATGATTCGTTATCATTCATTTACTGTTCCAATTATCGAGGAACAGCACAATATATACGGAGTGTTAGCTAGTAATGATGATGAGTAAGTTTTACTAGTGGGTGAAATTTTGTTTAGTATGTTACAAATATATCTCAGATTATCTTAGAACAAATTTTTTATATCGTTTGGATCACACTTGAAATGGAATCTATATGAGAATTATTTTAAAATTGGGCTTTCTAGAATATATGAAACAAAAATAAAGTCTTATGGCTTTTTGATTTGGCATCGATTTAACTAACTTTCAGGGGGTTTATTTTCATATCACCTGGATATGTATATGTACACATTTGTCAAATTTAGTGTTGTCCATTTTCCCAAGCTAGACGTGTTTTTCTCGAGTATATTTTCTCCGTTATGTTTAAAATTAATATATATGTAGCATGGGCACTTGTCTTTAGGTTATTGAGAAATAGATTCCTATCCATTAGGTAATACAGTCCTGTAAATTATGTGAAAAAGACATTAATATTGCGTCCGGTTTCAAACCCTATATGCTGGTCTACTGCATTGTCTTTCCGAATCATATAATTTTTCAGATTTTTATTCTGTATTGCTCATCGAGTTTTTCAGAATTGCATAACTGTCCTAGACCGAAGTACACTACTGAGGGTGATTCCAATCTTATCTCTAAATGGTCGGTTAGAGTTTTATCGTACAAGATTTTGGGATTAAGTGTATAACTGATATTCTGTGCAATTACGAGCTCTTCGAATTGTAGGCTTTTACATAAGTCGGGTCGTTTTTAGTACCATTTTTCTGATCAGGCTCAACATCATATGTCTAAAAATATAGAGTGGTATCATCTTTCAGTTTTATTTTTAAGTCATAGTTACGGAGTCTTTGAGATCTTATTTAGAGAGCCGATATCTGTTGAAAAACACCAACTCAATACAGCTGACTGTCATAACCAGGTATCACTTTATAAACCTACAATTTCTCCTCTGTAACCAAACTCACTATCGGTAAATAAGCTGCCTAACTTTGATACTATTTGTGTGATGTTTCTGTCAAACACAAAGTTTGATACCGAAACAACTAGGATAAAAGCAAGAAAGTAGAAATAAGATATTCCTAACCCACAAAGGTCGCGTTTTTCAGGTATTGAGTTGAAGGTTCGGACCTATACCATATGTTCTTTGGTTTGGGTAGTTCGGTGGTATCGTTAATAACCCCATAGAAAGTTTTATTGGAAGTAGAAACCTAATCTTGGTTATCGAATCACACCAAACTATTAAAAACAATAAGAAAATCAACAGTGACCTTGTTAACTTCTAAATAAATCACATATTTCTGTATTTTACTAACTTTTTACTCTATGAATATATATGTAGTTTATAATAACTCAAATATTCTAAACGCAGACTTGCTAGCGTATGTAATAAAAGTTTTGTTTCCAGTGATTTTATTTGTGCTTAACCTAAGATTGTAGTTTCATACAATTTCTAAAATATTTCTGATTTATAGGTCATCTATTCGAGCTGGTCCGATAATTACAGATCATTCAGCCAAATGTTCAAGAAATCTAATAACGTTTGCTAATGATGCATGTTTTCGTGATTCAATGCCTGAAACAGTCACTCCACTTCCAGAACCTGGTTACCCTGCTCCTACTCCTATACGCCCAGAGCGTCGTTTACGTATATGTCCAATTACTGGTTTACCAGCACGTTATTTAGATCCATTAACTTTAACACCATATGCTAATTTAGCAGCATTTCGTGTACTTCGACGCTTATATTCTGTACATTTAGAAACAAAAAAACCACCAATAGAATTGTTACGTGAATATCGGCATGGTCGTTAACATTTTGTCTACTTTCGTATACATTAATCAAAACTAGATGATGTTGTATATATTGTGTTAGCAATTTAAAGATTTCTTGATTTTAAAAACATGCTTCAGTCCAATCTGTACATCACTAACAAGTCCCTATACATGTACATGATCATCTTTAACTTATTCATATGTTTATTTTTAAGAGGATATTCTTATACATGCTCATTTACAAATCAATGTTTCAACATTCATGTTTGCGTTATTCCTTAGCTATAAATGTACCTTACTAATCAACATGTTTCGCATACTTGTATTGTTTATTGTCAAAGGTATACTCGTACAGGTGGCACTGTTGACCTTCAGGAGATCCTTTACTGAATGGTCACGCTTGACGAACATGCTAGTGAGATAGAATGTATTCTGAATACGTAACTAAAATGTTTGTAAATACTTGGAGTATGTTTTCCTCCCATAAAGTTTAGAGCTAGCCTACACAATAGGTCTCCTATACCAGCTTGGAATGTTTTGGTGCACTGTGTCACAGATCGTCAGACCAATTTTTACAAGCTGGTAATCCATGACATTTCTGTACACATACGCCTGTTACCCCTCATGGAGGAGCATAGACGATCCACCAGCATTCCCCATCCTACTCTGTCCTGGGCAATTCCTTCCAGTTGCTATTCACCCTTCTGATGTCTGCTTCCGGTTCTCAGCGCAGTTTGTTTTTTTCCCTTCAGGGTTCCAAGTTAGCGCTTGTCTTGTGATGCAGTTCGATGATTTCCGCAATGCATGCTCTATCCACTTCCAATGTCTTTTCCTAATTTCCTCTTCAGCTGGAAGCTGGTTTGTCCTGTCCCACAGTAGGCTGTTGCTGATGTTATCCAGCCAACAGGTGTTGAGCGTCTTGCGTAGACAGTTGTTTATAATTACTTGCTCCTTTTTGATGATGGTTGTGATAGTTCTCCAAGTCTCAGCTCCTTACAGTGGAACTGTCTTGACTTTCGTATTAAAGATTTTGACTTTGATATCGGTTGACAGTTGTTTTGAGTTCCACATGTTTTTCAACTGTAGGGATGCTGTCCTCGCTTTGCCAATCCTTGCCTATACGTCTGTATTAGGTCCTCCTTGTTCATCGGTGATGCTGCTGACCAGGTACGTGAACGTTTCCACATCTTCTAGAGTTTCTCCATCAAGTGTGATTGGGTTGGTGTTCTCCGTGTTGTATTTGAGGGTCTTTCTTCTCCCTTTGTGTATGTTCAAACCTACTAATGCAGAGGTTGCTGCTACACTAGTTGTCTTGGCCTGCATTTATTCGTGTGTATGAGATAGAAGGACCAGGTCGTCTGCAAAGTCCGAATCTTCTAATTAATTCCGAGCTGTCCGTTTTATTCCGTGCATTCCCTCAGATGTCGAGGCCTTCATAATCCACTCGATTACCAGAAGAAAGAGGAAGGAGGAGAGTAGGCAGCCTTGTCTGACACCGGTCTTCACTTGGAATGAGTCTGTCAGTTGTCCTTCATGCATGACTTTGAACTGTAGTCCGTCGTATGAATTCCGCATAGCACTGACGATCTGAGCTACTCACACAGTTTCAAGGAAGGTTGCATAAGGTCCTCCTGTCCACACTGTCAGACGCTTTCTCATAGTCAAGGACGATGATTTATAGTGGCGAGTTCCATCCAATTGATTGTTCAACGATTATCCGTAGCGTGGCGATTTGATCTGTGTATGACCGATCTTTATGGAATTCACTCTGTTGATCTCGAAGCTGGACATCTACTGAATCTTTCACCTGGCTCAGCAATACTCTGTTGAAAACTCTTCCTGATACCGATAGTATGATGCCTCTGTAGTTAGTTCTCACACTTGCTCAGACCTCTCTTCCTTGGTATATTGATGAGATATCATTCTTCGCAATCAGTCGGCACTTGTTTTTCCTCTCAAATGTCTTTAAAGAATGTGTAGAACATCTTTCCGGTTACCTCAGTGTCTGATTTCAGTGCTTCGGTTTGTATATTGTCAGATCTTGCTGCCTTTCTACTCTTGATTCGTCTGATGGCCATGCTGATTTCTTCGATCGTTGGTATTGACAGCTATAGGAATGTCTATGTGTTCTGCTTCGGTGTCCGATGGATTGAATGGAGCTGACTTAAGAGTTCCTAGAAGTATTCCACCCATGTGTTCCTCTGTTCTTCAATCTCAGTGGTTGGATTGCCTTCGTTATCATTGGCCGGTCTCTTTGGTTTACTATATTTCCCTACCAGTTTCTTCGTCATGTCTTATGGTTGATTCATATTTCCTTCTCTTGCAGCTTTTTCCGCTGCCGTCTCTAGCTCTTCCACGTATTTCTGCTTGTCAGCTCTAATGCTCTTTACTTGTTTGTTCGCCTCTGTGTATTCGGCTTGTGCCTTGGCTTTCTCTGTTCTTGTTCGGCTGTTGTTAATTGCTGTTTTCTTGAATCTTGTCTAAGGTTTCGATGGAGATCCATTCCTTATGATGCTTCTTGCGGCCCAGAACCTCCTGACACGTTGAAGTTAATGCTTCTTTGATCCCTTTCCAATTGTCCTCCATAGTAGTTTCCCCTTCTGTGAGATCTTGTAAGGCTTAGAACCTGTTATTGGGAGTTATCTTGAATTCGTTAAGTTTGTCATTGTCATGATAGAAGGCTGTATTGAACTCTTGTAATGCTATTTATCCAGTTGTCCAATGCCTCTTGAGCTTCATCTTCATCTTGCTAATCACCAGATGGTGATCTGAAGCTATATCAGCCCCTTTCCTGGTTTATGGGGGAATATCGTGCCACCGAAAATCATTTTGTTGAAGGAACATAAAATTGCAAATATCTCCCCATTCTCATTCCAATATCCCAGTCAATCCATGTCGTCCCATGATATGTTTATACGCGGTATTATCCATTCCAACTTTGGCGTTCAGATCTATCAGGATAGTCAGGTCTTTTTCTGAGCACTTCGCTATGATAGATTGAAGCCTCTCATTGAACTGATCGTTATTATCGTCGTTGTTATCATTGGTGGGTGCATAACATTGGATAACATACATTATGATTCCCTCCTTTGTTTTGAAGGATCCTTTCGTGATTTTCGATCCATGGGATTCCCATCCTATAAGTGTTATACGTGCTTCTTTGGACGGCATCAGAGCAACTCCCTGAATGTGTTAAACATTTTCCCTTTCTTGACCAGAGTACAGTGACATCTCTCCCGAATCTATCATTTTCTGTCTAGCTTGGGTTCAATGAGTCTCACTAATTCTGTAGCTATTTGACTAGTCCTCCCGGTCTCATAGATTGTCCGAACATTCCATGTACCTGTATTAATTCTTGCTTTAGTTGTTAGAAAGTACATCAGCCTAGTGACTTCGAATAATATCGGCTTTCATTATGAGGCGTCATAATCCTTACTTGAACTCGGAGGGAAGAGTTCAAATGGTTTAATTTGTTTATTCTGGTTAGCGTTTTTTGACCAAGGTTGTTTTCTACGGGATAAAGTTGTTGACCCCATGTTCAACCCTCCTTCTTTACTTGGGCTTAGGACCTGCAGTAATTGTAGAAGAGCTACAGGCTGAGTTACGCATACAAAAGGCATATCACTTTTCAACCCAACTTACGGCTTCTGAGACTTATTCTCATACTTATCGAATGATGCATACACCTTTCAGAAATTTACTGTCCACTTCTGTGACTGTGGGACGTGGGCGTTTACGGTACTGGATATATGTAAATTTTAGATATTCAGTTACAAATATCCTCAGAATATTTCGAAAGGGTTCGTTCATTATTCTGCAAATTTTAAACATAAATTCGCATGTATTTATATCCTGCTCGGTGATTTCATAGTCTTTATTCACCGTGAATTTCTGCTTTTTTGATTCTGTCATTCTCCGCTGTTGCAATTTTAATCAGATTTAGACAGTAATCTATTTTTAGAGTTTTTATTTGTCTGTATTGGCCCGGTTATGCAACTGTTTGGAAAAGACATTCCTTTTTCAGCGTTTAGACCTTGGCTCTGTTAAACCAACAGACCTATCTGGTTAGGACTTTGCGAAATCTCCTTGTTATTATTTTCTGCATCTAGCAATACCGTATTTTAGATCATATTGATGATTTAATCAAATTAATAAATAGCTCATATGAGACATTTGATCTTTTTTGTCACTGGCTATGTTTCAACGGACTGCAATTCAGATGTGCAGGTAATGATGTGTAACTCCACAGTCAATAACCTCAACCATATCAGTGTTCTAGCTTGGGACGTGTGTACACATCTCGGACAACCAAGTGAAGAACGGGATCATCTCTAATCAGTATAAATTCATTATTGGTAGACTGGATAACGATGATTGCTCTACATATCACATCATTTCCTTTATCTGTCAACAAAATTTAGCACAGTCATCACCAAGTTACTATCGGACACTCCCCCTGTATATAAAACATGTACCATAGAAAACCAGTGTGTGCAGAAGTGTTGTTTCCTTTAGGGAGCCTACTTAGAACATGGTTATATCTCAGTTTTTGAAATCCATCTTTTACAGTGGCAAGTAAGACTGTTTTCCTAACGGATTGATTGAAACAAAGTTGCCTAATCCTGAAATTAAACTGTTTTTGAGCTCGGCCGTCAAATGAATGGAAAATGATGACAGTATAAGTTTGGGACCTAGGGAAAGATATATTTGTTGATTACCATCTTAATGTTCGAGGATGTGGGAATTTAAAAGGCTTCAACATTTCGTTAAATAGATGTTTAAGCATGCCATATAAATGACATTAATAGATCCGATTATTTGAGCTCAATATAGTCTTAAGTAATAAGATTTACCTTTTATGGATTTCATTAAAATATTGTCTAGCAACACTGTATTCAAAACAACCTATGAAAAAAATCCCGTAGGTTGATGAAACATTAACAACGTAGTTGGATAACCTATGACGTAACCTTTGAAAAATGTCGATCAATTTATCTATAGATATTAATTGGGAAATATTCTTTCAGTAGTCTTTTTTTTTGAAGGATAATCCTTATTAGTTACCTCATCTAATTAATAGTTCCATTAAACCAAAATAACTGTAACTACCTTAAGCTTCATTTAAAGGTCATTTGTTTTGAGTAATTTCTGTTATTTAGGTCAATAAAATAAATTCATACTCGTATCTTGTTATCATACAAAAGGAAAAGCAAGATTCTCCGATACAACACAGCATGCACCAATCCAATCACAATTGACGAAGACAATTTGGAAGATGTAAAGACCTTTACATATTTGGGCAGCATCACTGATGAACATGGTGGATATGATGCAAATGTGAAGGCGCGGATCGGTAAGGCGAGAGCAGTATATTTACA